CCCCAAAGCATGATGTTGCCACCACCATGCTTGACGGTGGGGATGGTGTTCTTTGGGTTGTACTCGGTGTTCTTTGCCCTCCAAACACGACGAGTTGAGGCCAAAAAGTTCTATTTTGGTCTCATCTGACCACATCACCTTCTTCCAGGCCTCTTCTGAGTCGTCCAGGTGGTGAATGGCGAACTTCATGGGGCCTGTACATGTTTCTTCTTGAGCAGGGGGACCTTGCGTGCGCTGCAGGATTTCAATCCATGACGGCGTAGTGTGTTATCAACCGTTTCTTTTGTAACTGTGGTCCCAGCTGCCTTCAGTTGATTCATCAGTTCCACCCTTGTGGTTTTGGGATGATTCCTCACCGTTCGCATGATCAGGGACACCCCACGAGGCGAGATCTTGTCTTGGTCTTGCCCATGGTGGTGATGTTGGATGCTGGTTGTTTGGGTGTTGACAGGTGTCTTTTATACAGGTAACGAGGTGAGGCAGGTGTATTTGATGTAGATAATTGGTTGGGATTGGGGCTGTGTCTTAAAGAAAGACTAACTGGCTTGTAGGAGCCAGAATACTTGCTGTTTGGTAGGGGGTCATATACTTGTTTTTCCTCATCAGATGGTTATCAATTTTTATAAATTCATATGATGTGATTTTCTGGAATTTTCTTTGGGATTCTGTCTTTCACTGTTAGAATGTACATATGATTAAAATTGTAGATTGTTGCATTCTTTGTAAGTGGGCAAACCTGCAAAATCAGCAAGGGGTCAAATACTTTTTTCCCCCACTGTACGTCACTTCTGTTGTGATCAGGAGAGTAAACATGGCGCCGACGGTAGTTGCGGCATTCGCAGTACTCCTGCTAAAGTTGATAACAACTCACCACCAGTTCCTTATGAGAAGAATTAAGAACGGCCTCACTGACAGGAGCCTGGGCTCTCGCTACACTACTGTGTCCAGATGAGAACAGATAGACTGGCCTGACTGAGGGTATCTGGCCAATGGCTTCATGCATGGCTGCATAGAAAATCCATGAGGCAGCAGTGACCTCTCCTGCATCTGTCCCTGACCCAGTTTATGGCAGTGTTAAGTCCTTTGTAAATTGTAATAGTTCTGAAGGGTGAAATGAACATTATTTACATGGGTTTACATTCTAGATAGTCATTAAATAGTATTACCAATAAAATAAAAGCATTACAAAACATGTGAAAGTGCAGTTACCTTTTTCTTTAGATTTTCCCACTTCTTTTTACACTGCTCCTGAGTCACTTTCCCCTCCAGCCCCATGATTTTGATAATTTCCCTGAAAGACACACAATTATCCATTAGATCACTTTGCAATGAAAGTAAGGGCTTGCTTTCAAGTAACAAACTTGTCTGCTCATGTAATGGCCGTGTTAACTTACTCATATCCCTGGCTAGGGGCGTTTCTCTGCCCCGTGAATAGCCGCTCATTCTCCGCCCTGAGCTTTATAAAATTGAAAGTAAGCTAACAAGGATTCTGGGTAATAGCCCATAGCAAAGTGAGGTCTGATGCCTACTTGCGAAAGGGGTGCATTAAGTGCGCTGATGATCACCCCTAGAGAACAACATTAGAGGATCGGGACACTCTACGGTCTTGCACCCCTTGGCGAGAACGCGTATTGAGGGGCACAAGGGTGGAAGTGCGGATATTGGGACAGGGCCGGTCATTATATTTCCTCGCGTGTTGGTGATTTTCTCACAGTGACAAACAGTCTGCTCTAAATAGTATCTGTGGAGATCAGAGTCAGTCTGGAGTTTAGTTTTCCTCCACTGCTGCTCAGCTTTTCAACACATTATCTTTTGAAGTTTGACCTGTGGGACTTTCCTCCACGGTGCCTTTTGCTCACCAGAGACTCTAACCGATGCAATGACCCGTGTGTGTGTGTGTGTGTGTGTGTGTGTGTGTGTGTATACAGGTGCTGGTCATATAATATCATCAAAAAGTTGATTTATTTCAGTAATTCCATTCAAAAAGTGAAACTTGGATATTATATTAATTCGTTACACACAGACTGATATATTTCAAATGTTTATTTCATTTAATTGTGATGATTAAAACTGACAACTAATGAAAACCCCAAATTCAGTATCTCCCCGAAAATTAGAATATTACTTAAGACCAATACAAAAAAGGATTTTTAGAAATGTTGGCCAACTGAAACGTATGAACATGAAAAGTATGAGCATGTACAGCACTCAGTACTTAGTTGGGGCCCCTTTTGCCTGAATTACTGCAGCAATGCGGCGTGGCATGGAGTCCATCAGTCTGTGGCACTGCTCAGGTGTTATGCCTGTGGAACGTGTAAGCTGTGCCGGTCTGAGTATTTCACAATCTGCTCAGTTACTGGGATTTTCACATCCAACTATTTCTAGGGTTTACAAAGAATGGCGTGAAAAGGGAAAAACATCCAGTATGCGGCGGCCCTGTAGGCGAAAATGCCTTGTTGATGCTAGAGGTCAGAGGAGAATGGGCCACTCATCTCCACTACAAATAGGAAAAAGAGGCTACAATTTGCAAGAGCTCACCAAAATTGGACAGTTGAAGACTGGAAAAATGTTGCCTGGTCTGATGAGTCTCGATTTCTGTTGAGACATTCAGATGGTAGAGTCAGAATTTGGCGTAAACAGAATGAGAACATGGATCCATCATGCCTTGTTACCACTGTGCAGGCTGGTGGTGGTGGTGTAATGGTGTGGGGGATGTTTTCTTGGCACACTTTAGGCCCCTTAGTGCCAATTGGGCATCGTTTAAATGCCACGGCCTACCTGAGCATTGTTTCTGACCATGTCCATCCCTTTATGGCCACCATGTACCCATCCTCTGATGGCTACTTCCAGCAGGATAATGCACCATGTCACAAAGCTCCAATCATTTCAAATTGGTTTCTTGAACATGACAATGAGTTCACTGTACTAAAATGCCCCCCACAGTCACCAGATCTCAACCCAGTAGAGCATCTTTGGGATGTGGTGGAACGGGAGCTTCATGCCCTGGATGTGCATCCCACAAATCTCCATCAACTGCAAGATGCTATCCATCAATATGGGCCAACATTTCTAAAGAATGCTTTCAGCACCTTGTTGAATCAATGCCACGTAGAATGAAGGCAGTTCTGAAGGCAAAAGGGGGTCAAACACAGTATTAGTCTGGTGTTCCTAATAATCCTTTAGGGCAGTGTATATACAAACAGTGCGCATTCGCATAAAAAGGGTTTTGTTCACAACGGTGCATGCTCCATATTTCTCCAGAAGAATGCACATTGATTGTGTCAGGATAGGATGACTGCAAAGAAAAGTTAACGGCTAATCTAATATCATGGCGGCCGACAAAGCCAGGGAGGCCTGTTGGCATCGCATTAAGTAAATTATCTTCCCGGTGTTCTTATTGTAGTTCAAATCTCTGAAGGTACAGCTGCACATAAGGTCCATTGTAATAGGAAAAAAATGAGCCAGCGGAGAGGGGGAATAATCCGGGACAGAATTTAATTTCCAAGATAAATCTAAAGTCCTGCAGCTGATCTGCAGCTCTTTTTGCTTGAAATGTTTTAATAACCTTCCAAACTGCCGCGATTTTATTTTTGTGTTGCTTTCTCTGTGCTGGAGTTATTTTAAGAACTTGGCTTTATTAAATGTGTAACGAACTTTATCGTGTCTTGTCATTATACTCCGACACACAAAAAGCTGCTTTAATGGTCAAACACAGCCTGTAGTTTTTCATTATATTCCAGTCAAATCTGATGTTCATTTATAAATGTTGCTCATGTATAGTGGTTACAAATAATGATGCCTGTGCATCACTTTGTATGACATACAGCCTACAGCCTACGTCAGCTGGTTAATTTGTCTAATCTTCGCAGTTCTTTAGACCACGGTGGAAACGCACACAACAGGGCTGAAGGAACCTTTTAGTTCCTTGAAAAGAGATCTGGGGACTTAAAAGTCCCGGGTACTTTTGGTCGAAAAGCGCTTTGAGGATTTATTTTCTGTTTATTAACCCTCACCCGGGCTCCATGTTTTTTGGACACATAAAATAGTCAATCTAAATATGTGAAAACATTTAGGATAATTCAATTGTATCCTACAGATGGGCTACATCTAAGGAACTGTCCCGTTAATTAAGATATTCTCCCTAAAATAACGGAGGCTGCAGGGCTCGCTGTATGAAGGAATGCTGTTGTGTTCAGAATATCATCAGTTTGATTGAAAACTCAGTAGAAGGGTTAGGAACGCACACACAGCTGTCTCTTGATTTCAGTTAAAACGTTTCAACATTACTCAGAATCTAAAGACAGATAAGACGAAGGTGATACGAAAAAAAGTACCTGGTAGCAGGTACAAGTACAACTTCTACACAAAGGAAAACCAAAAGAAGGCGACTAGAGTCGAGGCGAGTCGAGGTGGTACCTTGCAGTGGAAAAGGTGCTTTACCGTCTCTCTCTCTCCCTGTATGTCCGCTTCGTTGACTTTCTCCATCAGTAGTAGGTTAGGCTGTATAAAGTCACCAAAAAGAAAACAGCAGCAGCTGCATGTTGAAGAGGCGTGTTGACGACGTAGTCTACGTGTTTTTCTGATAAATGCAGCAGTATGGCGTCTAACCTGGGCGGCCCGCGGAAGTGTATGTGTGCGAAACACTGACTGAACCAGCACTGTCTCAATCAATCTTGTTGAGAGTTTGTGAGTAGACTGCTGAGTGCAGACGCAGAAGGAGGGGCGGGGCTGCGCAGTGAGGGAGAGAGAGGAGCAAACGCTTGCAGGACTTTACAAAAACAAATTAATCACCTCAACATCAAACTATCTCGGTATAAACGGTATTGTCTAATTTCATATTTCTTTTGAAACGATATCGGTATACATTATATACCGATATACCGCCCGCCCTAGTATGTAATACAGTACATGCTCACTATGTGCGCTAATGTCATTTATGGTTTTTGAAAGCTCGCTCCACATCTACATCTCACTTACTGTGTTTCTCTCTGCTGATATAGGGAAGGAGAAGAAGAGAGGGACTCAAATGTCACCGCTGTCAGCACTGTGACAAATCCTTCACAACATCTAGAAATTTGAAGATTCATCGGAGAGTTCACACTGGAGAGAAACCGTACAGTTGTGACCAGTGTGGGAAAGCTTACACTCAATCAGGTCACCTAAAAATCCACCGACGTGTTCACACTGGAGAGAAACCGCACAGCTGTGACCAGTGTGGGAAAACATTCGCTACACCAGGTCACCTAAAAAGCCACCAACGTGTTCACACTGGAGAGAAACCATATAGCTTTGACCAGTGTGGGAAAACATTCACTACACCAGGTCACCTAAAAATCCACCAACGTGTTCACACTGGAGAGAAACCGTACTGGTGTGAACAGTGTGGGAAAACTTTCGCTCACTCAAGTAGCCTAAAACTCCACCAACGTGTTCACACTGGAGAGAAACTGTACTGGTGTGAACAGTGTGGGAAAACGTTCGCTACACCAGGTTACCTAAAAATCCACCAACGAGTTCACACTGGCGAGAAACTGCACAGCTGTGACCAGTGTGGGAAAACTTTCGCTACACCAGGTTACCTAAAAATCCACCAACGAGTTCACACTGGCGAGAAACCGTACAGTTGTGACCAGTGTGGGAAAGCTTACACTACATCAGGTCACCTAAAAATCCACCGACGTTTTCACACTAGAGAGAAACCATACTGGTGTGAACAGTGTGGGAAAACTTTCGCTCAATCAGGTAACCTAAAAAGCCACGAAAGTGTTCACACTGGAGAGAAACTGCACAGCTGTGACCAGTGTGGGAAAACTTTCGCTGCACCAGGTTACCTAAAAATCCACCAACGTGTTCACACTGGAGAGAAACCGTACAGCTGTGACCAATGTGGGAAAACTTTCACTACATCAGGACAACTAAAAAAGCATCAACGTGTTCACGCTGGAGAGAAACCATATAGCTGTGACCAATGTGGGAAAACTTTCACTGCATCAGGTCAGCTAAAAATCCACCAACGTGTTCACACTGGAGAGAAACTGTACAGCTGTGAACTGTGTGGGAAAACTTTCATTACATCAAATCAACAAAAAATCCACCAACGTGTTCACACTGCAGAGAAACCGTACAGCTGTGAACAGTGTGGGAAAACTTTCGCTCAATCAAGTAACCTAAAACTCCACCAACGTGTTCACACTGGAGAGAAACTGCACAGCTGTGAACAGTGTGGGAAAACTTTCGCTCACTCAAGTAGCCTAAAAATCCACCAACGTGTTCACACTGGAGAGACACCATACTGGTGTGAACAATGTGGGAAAACTTTCACTCAATCAGCTCACCTAAAAACCCACCAACGAGTTCACACTGGAGAGAAACCGTACAGTTGTGGCCAATGTGGCAAATCTAATACCAACAGGAGAACTCTTAGAAGACATAAATCCATTCACAAAGCGTCAGTGTGACATTTTTCACAGAGCCGAGCTAGCTGTTTCCTTCTGCCCTGAATACAACCACCTGTTATCATGCGATTGTGCTGGACTAACGTCATGTGATGACAGCTGAGGAAGTTTGATTTGGAAAGAGCTGGAAAGCAGTAGTCCAGAGGTTTTATCAGCCAACAACAAAATTAAATTGCAGTAGCCAGATTTCAATTTTTATGGTACTGTAAGTAGAATTCACATAGTTTACAGAATAATGTCAAGATTTGGACCTGAATCCATCAATAACACTACTAAATACTCATGCAGATTGGTAATCAGCTGAAATAAGAGCTTTGGGGGTTTAGTGACTCTTTAAGAAGGCCATGGGATGTGGTCAAAAGCTCCAACAAAGAGGTAGTATGTGATGTTCACTAATTTATCACAGATGTAGTAATAATAAGTGTGCTCCGATCGATCGGTCACCGATCGTAATCTGCCGATAATGGCTTTAAATAGTTTGATCAGTGGTCTCTAAAAAGGCAGATCACAAAAGTCGATCAGATGATGCAATACTTTCCGGACAAATTTTCAACGGCAGCTAAAATGGTTCCCTAAAACTCCTTTTCAGATAGGAGCTATTGAAGCATCCAGTTAATCATTTATAAAGAGTTTAGCAACAATCAGACAAGCAGAGCAACAAGCAGGAGTGACCATTTCAAACTATCGCGGTCGTGCTTATCTCACACACATGCCGCCCGCTACCAGAGTTTAATTGTCTTGACCCACAGAGCATCAGGCAGAGAGAGACTGATCCTTCAGTGTGAGTTTCATGATGAAAAGAGAGGCGCCACTCAATCAGCTGACTGCCTCTCTCTGTCTCCGTTTTCGTTTTAAAACGGAGACCTTTTGCTACGTTTCCCCCTCCGTCCAGATGAAAATGGCGAATTGATGGGTAAAACTGATTCAGTCTTATCAGTCATGCAAAACACGATGCTACAGAGTTTTATTTTTTGTATTTTTATTTAGATATTTTCTACTGTTTAAATAACACTTGTACTGTGCGTGTTGCCGTATTTACTTTGCTTTCTCACTTTGTAGGCTACTCTTGTTACTTTCAGTTCTATTTCGTTGGCGGTCAATGCAAAAACGAATACCTGTGTGGTTCTTCGACTGTATTACTTTCTTCTTTCGCCAAATTTTCTGCAGCGGCAGAGTAGACCATCTGCTTCATGTTTACACCCCGGCCTGTGCATGCCCAGTGAACGACCACGCGTGCTTTCAGTCGTTTTAATATAAATGGAGATCAACTCTGATACGCAGCTAAAACGCTGCTGTGGAGGGAGAAGATCTTATTCGCTATAAAACGGTTTAAAAAAACATAGTAGAGTGGATGTAGCCTAACATTAACCCACTCCTCTCTCTACTAATAAAAAAATCTTATAAAAACCTGCTGGCTGTATTGAAAGTGTTTGCTGCTCTCTCCTCTGGTAAAGCAGGTGGCAATAGGCCTGTAAAAGATGTAGACTGTGCTTCTTGCACAAGGATTTAATAATCTGATTACATCAATTTGATTTATAGATTTAATAACCCACTGAAATAATATTAGGCCTATACTAGTGGTAAACCATATGAAATTATAATGAATATAGTAACTATAAGTGGGCTAATATTAACAATATACTAACAGTATAATATGGAATTAACATTGTACTTTATTTAAATTTCCGTTACTTTCAAATCTCATTGATGACGTTATGCCTCCTCTGTAGCCCCCTCTCCCTCTCTCTGCTCCTCTCTCCCCCCTAAAGCCCACAGAGCCTAACTGAGTTTTCCAGAACAAAAACCAGCTACTTTATCATCGACTCAGGAGGCCTGAGCTCCTTTATCTCCTAAATATTTTGGCTACAGTTTGTAGTTTGTTGCAGTTTTTATAGTTGAAGTAAATTAATAAAGATGCTGTTTGTTCTGTTTTTGTAGTTTATTCCACAGGAAAGCTGTTTTTGTTAAGCTATAAGATTTTGGCAGTAAGCAGGCAAAGGCTGCTGTGGTTTAAGGAGGGAGTGGAATTTGTTGCCCATGTTTCCTGCCAATAAAACAAACAATTGTCATTTCATGATTTTTTTGTCATGTTATTTTTAATACTTAATACATTGTTTTTAGGACCATTTAAATAAATATATTGTATAATGCTACATGATAAATCAAAGGCTTCAAATAGACCCAGTGATTAGTGATCGGCCCAAAAAATCCTGATTGGAGCACATCTATTCAAGAATGAATCTCAACACTTGATGAAGTATTGTTTCTGTGTCAGGGCTTGACAATAACGGTGGCCCGATGGCCTGGGGCCTGTAAAAAGTAACATCAGGACAGTTGAACTAGCAACTCGACGCAAAAACATTAGTATAAAATATATAATTAAAAACTCAACATCCTGCAGTTGTTTTGCAGCTCATAGCGCACACTGTTGTCCAATCCAGAGTTCTAGTTACGTTGTTGTCAAATGTTATTTCTCTAATCTCAATCATGCGGCAACCTCTGGGTCTGAAAGTGAAACCATGCAGACGGAACTTAAAGCTGCGTTCTATATTACGGCCAGCAGGGGGCGAGTCCGCTGGTTTCAAAAAGAAGTCCGGTTCCATTAGATATAATGGTGAAAACTCCTCAGTAAAAACTTTCCTGATGAGTTTATGGTCTCAGTCACTAGTTCAAGTCTTCTTCAACCCAGCATGATGTTCATTTAGTAAATGTTGGTCCTATTCGGAGGAAAATAGACATAAAGCAGCGTATGCTTTTGGGCGGGACTACCTTGTGATTGACAGGTTGCTACAACTTACAGGCAACTTGTAACTTATTTAATAACCGATTAAACATGTTTACTATATAACATAGCTTATAAGTCTTTGGTTTTGTTCTAAAACTGATACATTTACATTTATCTGATGCTTTTTTGTCCAAAGCGACTTAGAATTGCTGTACATGTCAGAGGTCGCACGCCTCTGGAGCAACTAGGGGTTAAGTGTCTTGCTCAGGGACACAATGGTGGATGGGTCACAGTGGGGGATCAAACCTGGGTCTCGCACACCAAAGGCATGAGCCTTATCCACTGCACCATCACCACCCCATGTTCACAGTTCAGGGCGGCTGTGAACCAGTCATTAGTTCGCCTCGCTGCATAACCATTGTGTTAGTTTAGAGAGTATTTAGAGAGTTTGTATTTCTGTTGCCTGTCTGAGTGGCTTTTGGAACCTTTGTAAATCGCCTAGTTTGATTTAGTGTACCAAGAGTAGGACACGCTTTAGTTTGAGACCTCTAAATTTGCAGAATAACAGCTAGATTGTTTTCTTCCTTTGTAATTTGTAAGGTTTGTAAGCTGACCTTTCCGTTGTTTTGTGTATTTTGAGTACTGTACTAAGGACTGTCTTTGGACAAGACCCTCTTTTGTTTCATTTTGTGTATTGGATGTTTGTCAGCACCTGTATAGCCTCTTTCTGTTGTATTTCTTTCTGCAAGCGCTGTCCTTGGTTAATTAGTTAGTTGTCGCACCTCATTCTCAATCCCAATCATGTGTTACTGCCCTCCTTAACAAGCCGGGTCGTAACAGCTGCTGGAGAGAAAGAAAGAAGGAACAAACAGATGTGGCGATTTTTTTTTAAAAAGCATTTACAGCGGCTGTATGTCGCTGTCATGTTGCTTGTGTGTTGTTTTCTTGTTTTCCTCGTCTTTATAAATATATCAGTCTGAGAGACATGACAAGTCACTTCATGTTCTGCCTCCTTCCTGAGAAACATGTCAGATGATTCACCTGATTGAATCCACCTCTGACAACATTGATGATTTTGACCAAACTGCTTAAATTAAATATGTTTTGATCTCTTAGCTTGCTCACTACTCAAGAATATCTCTGTTCTACAGCTGAAGCTCATTTATTTTGTCTACTAATTTACCTGTCTGTACTTTTAATAATCCTCTATATGTCATTACTTTATGTTCTTTGCTCATCTTATGTGGTGTTATAATTTCCACTAAGTGTACCAGTGTTTTGATATAATGACCTTCTGTGAGATTGTTTTGTTTCATGCTTTCCTGTGAGAAAGGAGTTTCCACTGTGGTTCAAGGCTGAGAAAGGCTTTTCTGTTGGACTCCACAATTATTCTCTAGCATTAAATGTCTTCTCTGTTTCTCTGGGTCAGACTCTCTAACAGCCCTCTGGTGTATGAGCTCTGCCTGTGCTAAATGCACATTTACTAGAAGAATGAGTCAGAGTAGTGCCTCACAGTACAATGCTGCCACCTCCTGGACAAATGTCTGCACCAGTCAATTCAAAAGATTTATTTGTAATTGGGTGTTTCTCAAGTTTCTAATTTGTTATTGTCATTTCTGTTCAGTCACAGGTGCGGCTGATCATTCTCGTGTTTAAACCAAATGGATGATAATAAAACATAGTAAACACGTAGCCTAACGAGTCGGACAAGTCACTAAACTGCACTAAAGTTTCTACTAAGCAAGGAAATGGAAAAAAAAAGCCTGCACATCCAACTGAATGATAAAATCTGCTGGTGAAAGAAATTGGGGGGAAAAAATTGTTGGATTGATATGATGGAACGCAGTGATTGATCGGTGACAAGTGATTTTACTAGCAAATAAAATGTATGGAGTAGTGTTAAAGGATATCAGAAGAGGAAATAAACAGAAAGCCTAAAACGGAGCTAAAGTAGTCTTAAATATGAGTTACATCATTTCAACCTTTAGTCTAATGAATCCAAAGACGCCGTGATCATATTCTGGGTTATTCAATAACGAATTCACAATCGGAATCAATGAATATAAATGCAGAGAGCATTGTGCCAGTAGAAAGGATCCTGTGCCTCTGAGCTGGACATACAGTAACCTATAATTATTCATGTGTAGGTGTTTGTTAAAGTAACAGCTACAGAGAGGATCATGCTGCTCTGCACTGTGAGACTTTATTAGTACCAACACAGTGCACACGTGTGCAGACAAGAGAGATGGACACCTTTTTAACTTTCAGCTGAAAACCCCGAGTTAACAGAGCCAGTCCATAAGCCGCTTCATGATACTGGTTATCCAGGACGGCCATTGTTAGACTCAGTGAGACCAGATCACCCAGAGAGACCCAGACTCAGTTAAACCTGCTTCAGGATTCAGGACCCAGATGTGAGGGAGCAATAAAGATGGAGAAAAATGTTCCAGATCAGACCTGTGGTTTGTTTGTGAAGTGTATGAAGTGTGACAGCAGACTGAGATTAGAGAATGAAGAAGACAACAGATTTTTGGAGCTCAACTCTCCTGAAGGAGCCGAGGTGAAAAGGGAACAACAAGAGGAAGAAGAGAGAAGCCTTTTGGCTGAAGAAGAGGAAGCAGACAGAGGGACAGAGTATTTAGGATTCATTTCTGATTTGGATTCCACACACATGGAATCATTTTCATTTGCTGAATCATCATGAAGACGTTCAGAGCCTCTGCTGCTGCTGTTATTCCCTTTTACACTTCTGGAGGAATATTATATTAGAATTTCCACTTTTACTGTCCATCAGATCGGCCGACCAATCAACAAGCAGCCTGTTTCTGCCCGGCAACAGACGTCCTCATAGGATCCAGCCGGCG